ATTGGACCGAACAAAGGAAGAATCAAGGAGGACAGATTAAGTCAGAGAATGCTGGTCCGTATCCTATGCTCCATTGAAGGTAACAAGCGTAAGAAAGTAAGTATTCACGTTAGGTAATGCAATTCAGTCGGTGGAAAATTCTGTATTTGTGAATTTCGTATTAGTTCTGCTGAAAAACTCTCTTCTTTATCTAATAAATGAATCAGTCTTAAATTGTGTGTTACGATAGTCATACATTACTGTAATATATTTCAAAGGCTTATAGAATTTGTTAATACAATAAATCATGGTAGATGTGTGGTGCGAGCTACTTATAAGTAGTATATGACGTGAGTGTAAACGTAATGTCTGGCAACAGAAGGTGGGGGAAGATCAAGAAAGGAAGAGTTAGAACGCAATGGAGTTTGTATGAAACGCATGAATAGTGACAATGGATTGATGTTTTGCAACAGGAACGGTCCAGTTTGATATGATGAACTGATATTTTGCAAATGAACGATTTACGATATGGTTTTCCGATTTTACTGAGTAACTCTGTAATTTCCTTAAATGCAATTCGGTCGCCCTCACCTGTGTTCTCCTTCACTACAGATGCGTAGTTAAAAATTATTTCAGATTACTTGATTCAAAAGTACACACAACGGTTAATTACTGACATCATGATATAATCATTGTTGGATCACCATAGAAGTCACGGATGCGCACCGTCACTGATAAGTCCTATAGCAGAATGAAACAACTGTCTTTCAAAGCACTCAGGTTTCTTCCAATGATGGTCTAACATAATGATTCATTTCTTATGATTTCAACAATCTTCAGAATTTTATGACAAAATTTAATACAATCTTCATGTTATGATTATCAAATAGACCTGTAAGTTGTTACACTTAACAAACTATGAAGGTTAAAGTGCATCGAACTGACAAGCCCCAAAATATGATGAAGCGCATATCTTGGATTTTACTACTGATTTGTTTTATATGAAGTGTACACAATGATTACATAACAATCTTTGTGTTAAACATACTTATAGTACGTATTTCTAATCAATAACAACAATTGCAGACCGCCGAATCATGTGAATTTTTTCCAAGCTTATTTTAGAATGAAATGGCGATTATAAATACTTTTGAAATCCTGAATTGATCAATGTTATACCACTATTAGAAACCTGGAAGCATTGAACGGGTGTAAACAGTAACTACCGAGGACTGTGTATAATGTTGCGCAACTCTGTGAAATGATCAAGTTAGACATGAACACCGTTAAATACCGGCTCGGTGGTCTAACGGTTAGGGCGTCCGCGCACAATGCCGAAGGTCGTGGGTTCGAATCCTGTAGGGTGCAGGAGTCGTGCATGCGCACTGCTGATGAGTTTCATCCACACCAGGACGAAGCAGCCGTCATTCAGTGCTTCCAGGTTTCTAATGGTGCTCTAACATTGATCGGTTCATGGTTTCATACATGTGTAACTCAACAATCTTCAAAACCCTGTAATCAATCTTATAAATATCCAAGGGCAGTGTCAATGGTAACATTATTGACAGTCCTATTTCCCATGTCTTCTAGTTTTCAGAAAAAAGATCTCATCGTTCTATACATTCGAATATAAAAGTTTTATTTTTAATCAGAAACTTGTAGGTGACACTCTGTTCCATACTACTTATAAGCCACGTTGTGGGTAGATATAAACCACAGCATCAAATAAGTTTACACATTTTTGAAACCATGAATCGATCAATGTTAGACAATCATTAGAAACCTGGAAGAACCGAGAGACGGCCGTTTTGTCCTGGTATGGGATTCATCAGCAGTGCGCATCCGCGACTCCTGCACCTCGCAGGATTCCAACTCAGGACCTTGTATATTGTGCGCGGACGCCTAACCATCGGACCACTGAGCCGGTATTTAACGGTGTTAATATCTAACTTGATCAATTCATGGAGTTGCGCAACCTCATACACAGTCTTCGGTAGTTACTGTCTACATCCGAACAGGTTGAACTTCACTGGTCACGTCTTCCCACTAGAACTCGGAGAAGATTCCTCACGAAGCTAGTCACTAGTGAGCACAGGTAATTTGCATTAAGGGGTTGTGAAGATTGTTGAGGAGTCCCGGACCAGAACGAAACGAGCGTCATCTAGTGCTTCCAGGTTTCTAATAGTGCTGGTCTAACAATGATCGATTCATGGTTTCAAAAATGTGTAACTTAACAATCTTCACAACCCCGTAATTCAAATAAATTTATCATGGAGGCCAAACGGTTGGAACAGCTGCTGGCTAGTGCACTGCTTGGGTGGCTCGGTAATCCGCTTTGGGGTGCCAGGTCCAGCTGAGTAAGCCTGCATTGCCGCCCTTGTCGATTGGGGTTTGTGGGTAGTGGACTGGTTGGAGGGATCTTGTTGATTCATAAGTGCCCGAGCGGGGGCCACTGCTCGTGTGCGTGCTTTTTGGACGTCCACCTGTCTGCAGACCAAACTGGACAACATGTATGTTCCCGATTGGGGCAGGGGTGATTACTGTTGGCTACAGTGAGAATCCTTGTGTTGCCTAAAAAGCAGCGATGTGCATGTGCAGCAGGCTTGATGGTTAACCATGATTAACCTAAAGTAATAGTAATTGAATATGAACTCCGCCTTGAGCCGTTCTAGATTTACTGCCAGTCCAAAACTTGGCGACAGTAACAGGAATAAGTCAATTGTAGTATAACTTGTGCATATATATGATTGTCACAATCATTCACAGAACATCAACACATTAATTAAACCAATAAAACTTAACCAAAAAAATTGTTTAATTCAATTTGGTTGTAGAAATTTCGAATCATATTTGAACAAAAGTTAAACGAACTTTTGAAGGTGAATCGTTGAAATCGTGAATCGATCCAGACTGAATGACGACCGTTTCAGCCTGGTGTGCGACTCATCTGTGACAATGTATATCTACGACTGTTGCTACGCCAAGGACTCGAACCCAGGACCTCCGATTTTGAGGGCACACGAACGCTTAACCTCTGGACCGGACCACTGTACCGCCATATCTAACTTCGATCAATTTATGGTTTTGCACAACCTCATGCTCTGTCTTAGTTGAGCAATACTTCACACTCAAACAGAATTGAACTACACTGGTCATTACTTCTCACTAGAACTCGGAGAAACGTACTCACGCAGCTAGTCAGTACTATGGACATGAAAAATAAATTATCAGCCATATAATTTTTGTATTCATGATTTCATTTAGTTTTCTATATGAGCAGAAAATATGTAAATAATTCTACACATATATCACTTGATATTGTACACTTAGTGTTTACTAATCGATATTAAATGAAAACTTACAGTTAAAAAAAAATTGATATTTCTCTTCTCAATAGTTTGATAAAAAGATTTGTTTTTACTCTTGCTAGTTGTTTACTGGTATGTAGTCAAAATTCAACTAATCACTTCCTGGTTCAATATATATGTATATATATATATATATATATATATATATATATATATATATATATATATATATATATATATATATATATATATATACGGTGTTCAATATGTATATATATCAGCCTAGGTATGATAACAAGAAATCGATTACTATAATCATTATCAACAGAATAATCTGAAATCATCAATCAATCATTAGTGTTAGACCAGCACCATTAGAAACCTGGAAGAAGCACTGCAGGACGGCCGTTTCGTCCTGGTACGGATGAGACTCATCAGCACTGAGCATCCACGACTCCTGATACTCGCAGGATTCAAAACCAGGACCCATCGGTCTTGAGCGCGGACGCCTAACCTTTGGGCCATTGAGCTGACCGGCGTCCAACGGTGTTAATGTCTAACTCTGATTGATCTAGGGATTTATGCGCGATCTGCTGATCAGTCGCATACCAGGACGAGATTGCGGTCATTCAGTGATTCTTCCAGGTTTCTAAAGGTGCTGGTCTAACAATGATTGATTGATGATTTCAAATGTGTAAAAACAAAAAAACCTCCAAAACTCTGCACAAAATATCGTAACATGTGCTCACTAGTGACTAGCTTCGTGAGGAAATTCTCAGAGTTCTATTGATGAGAAGACGTGATCAATGGAGTTCAGCCCTGTCGGGTGCAGTAGGCAGTAACTAACTACCAAAGACAAATGGGTGAGGTCGCACAAAATCCTTAGATCAATCAGAGTTAGACATTAACACCTTTGGATGCCGGCTCAGTGGTCCGATGGTTAGGCATTCGCACGCAATACCGAAGATCCCGGGTTCAAATCCTGCGAGGAGCAGGAGTCGTGGATGCGCACTGCTGATGAGTCCCATACCAAGACGAAACGGCCGTCATTCAGTGCTTCTTCCAGGTTTCTACTGGTAGTCTAATAATGATTGATTGATGATTTTAAATGTATAAGAACACAAAAGCCTCCCAAACTCTGACGGCATCCAACGGTGTTAATGTCTAACTCTGATTGATCTAGGGATTTTTCGCGACCTCACCCATTTGTCTTTGTTAGTTACTGCCTACTGCATTCGACAGGGTTGAACTCCATTGGTTAAGTCTTCTCAAGTAGAACTCCTAGAATTTCCTCACGAAGCTAGTCACTAGTGAGCACATGTTACGATATTTTCAGTTAGAGGTTTGGAGATTTGTGTTCTTTTACACATTTGAAATCATAAATCAATCAATCATTGTTAGACCACCGTTAGAAACCTGGAAGAAGCACTGGACGACCGTTTCGACCTGATATGGGACTCATCAGTGACAGTGCGCATCCACGACTCCTGCACCTCGCAGGATTCTAACCCGACACCTTCGGTATTGTGCGCGAGCGCCTAACCATCGGACCACTAGACCGGCGGCATCCAACGTTGTTAATGTCTAACAACTCTGATTGATTTACGGATTTTTGCGCCACCTCACCCATTTATCTTTGATAGTAGTTACTCTGCCCGAGAATAATTTGAATAAAAATTTTCTAAAAATCAAAGATAAAAAAAATACACTTACATGACTTAATCTGGCGTTTATGTCAATTTTATGTATTTCAACTAATCGTTTGGATTCTGTAATATTATTATTGATCAATGAATCATAAAATGCCAATCCTGGTATTGTTGTACTACTACTACTAGAAGACGCCATTATGGATAAATATTGACAATTGACACTGATTTAAACAATTCTACAATATGAGAAAACAAGAATAATAATAATAATAATAAATTCATTAAAATTTCCATAATTATCTATTTTTTTTTAGGTTTTCTTGTCGGTCACAGATTAATAATCATTGTTCAAACAGACAGACAGACAGATACAATACAGAACTTCGTACGTAAGTACATCAGTTCAGGTTGCCGCCATACCACATCAGCACAGAGACGCAACTGTCAGTTCAAATGCAAACGCGATAGCGAAACGAGAAGTATTAGCAGAAGATTACGGAGCAAAGATATGATTCGAGAAGTATGATTCAGTAAGATAAATTTAGAAAGAGAAAGATAGAGATTATAAGGAATTCAGAAGGTTAGGATTTGAGAGACCACAAAGAGTGGATGCACCTGCACCATTGCAAGCGATTCTGAGCCATTTCATTCAAGGTATCTAACCATTGGTGACTATCATCTCGCAGACCCCAACCAAGTAGTCTACATCTACCAACCTGACTCAGTCCACTTGTCAGTGACTTCATGGATTTCTGCTAACTTTTAGTTTGGCCGCCCCTAGCTTTGTTCGGACACTATCGAAAAAAAACTCAAACCACTGAATAGTTATGTTTGTTCTGATAGAGCATCTCCTCATAAATTAACCAGCAGTGGAACATTGAGAGCTTCAAGTTATCGAATCATAGGTCTATAACTATTAAAACAACTAGTTCACTGTCTTTGTAATCAAACTGTTTGTCGACGGATTGAATGCTAGGCTCAAAGTTAAGCGCTTATCAGGGGATCAGATCGGATCAGGCCAGACACCCAAGAATCGTGAACATGCACTACGCAAGGGTCGTATATGAGGATGAAGCAGTTGTTTAATGCGATCAATTCCTGATAATAACCATAAATTTATTATTGGTATTGTTTAATATTATTTAATATTCTGTTTTGATAATCAGGAAAGAAGTTGATGTGCATTCATAACACATGTCCCAACCACCTCAACTGATGAAGTTTCATTACTTCATCTATTGATCTTCCATCCCTACCCAGAACTCGTCTCTTAACAACAGCACTGCTTATACGGTTGTCCCACGATATACGAGCAATGATTCGGAGACACCGATGATCGAATACTAGTAACCTACGAATGTCCTCTACTCTTAACGGCCATGTTTCGCATCCGTATAGTAGGACGGAGCGAACTGCTGATCAGTGCGTTCGTCCTTTGTTTAGCAAACGGATATTTCGCCTGCGCCATAAGTGACGCAGGTTGGCAAAAGCCAATCGAGCCTTCTGTATCCGAGCTGAGATTTCGTCAGTCACCAGGCTATCAGCATTGATGAGACTCCCCAGATAAGTGAAGCGGTCTACACCTTCGATTACTTCACTCCCTATCACTAGTTCAGGTGCCGATGCAACCCAATCTTGAAGCAACATTTTGCATTTCGAGGGTGAGAACCGCATCCCGAACACGCTTGCATTGTTGCTTATGGTAGTCAGAAGACTCTGCATTTTGTCAGCGTCTTCACCAAGTAGGACTATGTCATCGGCATATTCTAAGTCGATAAGCAAGCCTCCTGGTAGTAGGTCTACTCCCGAAAATTCAGACGAGGATAAGGTTATTTCTAGGAGCATGTCTATGATAAAATTAAACAAGAATGGAGAGAGTGGACATCCCTGACAGATACCACTTGAAGTGAAGAATTCCGATGACAGTTTGCCATAAGCTCGCACTCTACCAGTAGTTTTAGAGTAGATAGCTTGTATAATGTTAATGTACTTCTTTGGTACACCTTTCAATGACAGACACTGCCACAGAACCTCACGATCAACAGAGTCAAATGCCGCCTTAAGGTCCAGGAAAACAACTATTGTAGGACGCCTCAATGTGTGTCTGTGTTCCAGGACCTGTCGTAGTGTCAAAATGTGGTCTATAAATTGACGTCCAGGTCTGAAACCATTCTGGTTTTCTTGAGTATGCTCTTCACGAGCTATAGTTTGACCTACGACGTTCTACGTTGTTAACTGAGTGTTTATATATGACAGTTGATAGATAATAAACCAGTTACTCGAATTTATATTGAAAATGGTTTGGTTAAGTGAAATTTATTGAAATTGATTACTTGTTTCCTACTGTAATCTTGTATATTTTAAGAGTCTTAATAACTTGCTATAATTCATTCGACTATTTTATGTTCTTATTTGAAGTTTCACGAGGTATCGATTTATGTAGCTAAAAGATCTTATGCGTAATACAATAGTCGTACTGATAGGTTGATTGTCAGTGGAATTCACATGGTGTTATTCTGTTTGATTTGGATTCTACTAGGGGTATAAGAAGGATTTGATTTCGACCAATTTGGTCTCTCATGCTGTTACAGATATGAGGGCGATTGTCACTTCCCCGCTGCTCACACCATGGAAGGATGTTTCCTGAGGAACCTGAAAAGGAAGACAGATTAGTGTTGGTCTTAGAGACGTGGGTGCGTGACCACAGAGCCAAGGGGACAACTGCTTGAGGTCGGTCACGCACGGCCTTTTTATGAAAGGTTTTTTGAGGATTAGCTCCGCGCTTAAAAGACCTTAGTGGGAACCCTTACCGCCAGAGACGGAAATCCGTGGGGTAGGGTGAGGTGTGACATATTAAAGTCCATCTCTTCTAACCTCTTCTTCCTTCGGCTATGGAAAGGCAGTATCGCTGCAGATTCTGGTTGTCCGAGGGAAACACCTTACTGCTGTCACACACCTCCACAGTCACTCAGCAGTACGACTTCACCCTCAGACTTTGAGTAGCTGCTTTCAGTCTCATCGTTCTCTAATTGTTCTGCCTGGCATGGTAGAACCTTCAGGAACATATGTTCCAGCCAATATAGCTCGGTTGGATCATCATGATAGTCAAGCCCGACCACCACATGTCAAGGTAGCAGCTACGATCAGGCTGGATTCTGCTGCTTACCTTAAAATACAACTTATCATATTATACCAGTCAGTAAATCAAATATTTTATTCCTGACAGAAAAAATATCAAAACCTCTTTTCAAACAGTATCACTTTTCACCACCAACAACACCAACTATGAACTGTGAAACAAAGTTATATATATACATTAGATAACTGTGGCAATACTATAGTTTTCATTGGAAATTAAAAAAGACCAACTTTTGATTCAGTTTACAAATAACCTGAGAAAAAAAATCAAAATTTACATATTGTACATATAGTGCAAAAAATTGAATCAAGAATGACCATCACCTTGAAATCGATCGATTGTAATCGGTGATTATGCAATATCCTTTTGTATGGTATCAAGTTTGTGTTTTTGTGGTTGTTGGTGTTGTCATGAACAGAATAATATGTAGAGAAAATAATGTCAGTTTTTTCTAAATACTTCTTAAGATTAAAAATAAGAAGTGTGTTGGGGATGCGTTACAAAAAATTTCTTGTACGTCTATCGAACAACACTAGATGAGTTTTTATCGGGGTAAAAGTCCCTAGCAAAAATCCTGATAGGAGGAAGACTGAAAACGATCCATAGCCTGATGCATCTGAGTAATGCATCAACACCGGTACAGACAAAGTCGGAAAAGCAACCCGATTACAAAGTGGGATACCCTGTGTTTTCCCATGACTACAGAACAAATCATGGTGCCTGGATAGAAGCGCGAGTGATCAGAAGAGTTGCGAGAGTTATGTACGAAGTAGAGGTCAAAGGCGAAAGGTGGTCACGCCATTGAAACCAGATACGCAAACGGCTAGCCCCAGATCGTCCATCAGTAGCAGAAAATCTTCCCCTTGACTTCCTGCTTGATACCTTCGACCAACCAGCAGCCGCCCCACGAGAAGAAACTCAGTCACAAGCTGATCTCCGTTCCAGAAGGTATTCTCTCAGACAGTGGCGAACAACATTCAAGATGCAAGTCGACCCCGGTGTACAGGCAGTTAAAAATGGGAGGAGTGTCGGGGGTGTTAGATCCCCAGAACTCGCTTGATATAAATATCTTTATTTTGGTTTTATTTCATGGACCGATCAGTTAACCTTGAGACTACATTTCTCACCAGGAAAATCCTTGGCTGTGATTGTTGATTACTGTGTCATTTGAGTGTGCTATTTTTGTGACTGTCCTTAGGACGCGATTTGAGTGGTTGAATTCCTTGTGTGCTGGCTGGGCTGTGTTTTTAGAAAACACTTTCTACACAATATCAAGACTTCTCGCTAATACAATTCGGTCAAGGGATCACAGTAGCCTACCTGGACTCTGGTTCATTGTTTTGTTCTCGTTATTCGACTAAGGTGAACTCGTAATAGTTTAAGCATACCAAGAGACGAGCTTAACAAGAAGCAGTGTTTATTGATGAGATTTAACAATAAATCACACGAAAATTCGATGTCAAAACTGTAACCGTTAGCGATAAAAAAACTCCAGAATGGGACAGTTGAACATCAACGTGATTGTTTGATGTTTTCTTACTGCAGTTAGACTACATTTAAGGAAAAAAGATTAACTGATCCAATCTCGTTAGATATTCTACTCGTCTTCTATTGTTGTGTTAAACTGAGGTTTATGGACTTTAACTTATACTCGTTAATTATTATTTATAGTTGACTTAAAAACGTAGAGTTTATGCTGACCCGAAATATCAAGAGTTTTGGCACAACAAACATAGAATCATATTATCGCTCTGTTTACTCAACCATTAACTTGAAATCATTAATGAATCACTGACAGACCACCATTAGAAGCTTGGAAGCACTGAAAGACGGCCCGTTTCATCCCATAGTATAGGACTTGTCAGCCGTTTGTACAAACGTTCCATGTGCCTAAAAACACGGTTGCTCTGGTTTTCAGAAGAGGCAACGGCCCCGTGATTTCCGAGGGAATTCGGCTTTCATCACGCGACGCCATAATTGTTCTTGCAACTCCCAGGGCAGAGTTAAAATGGTTTGAATTAGTTTTTCTGGTTAGCGTTTTTTTGGAAAGTTAGTTTTTTTGGTGGGATGGGGTCATCAACCCCATGTCCGACCCTCCTCTTTTACCCTGGCTTGGGGCCGGCAGTAGCCCCTAAGGTTCTACTGGCGGAGCATCAACGAATTCTTCTTCTCGCAGGATTCGAACCCAGGGCCTTCGGTCCTGCACGCGAACGCCTAATCTCTGGATCAATGAACCGGAATCTAACTCTGTGAATGTTTAACTTCGATCAATTCAAGGTCTCGCACAACGTCATACACTACTGTCTTCGGTAGTTACTGTCTATACCCGAACAGGTTGAACCTCACTGGCCACGACTTCTCACTGGAACTCGGAGAGGATTCTTCAGTGGTCCAAAAATTAGACGTTCATGCGCAAGACCGAAGGTCCTGGGTTCGAATCCCTCGAGGTCCAGGAGTCGTTGGTGCTCACGGCTGATGAGTCCCATATCTGGACAAAATGACTGTTTAGTGCTCCCAGGTTTCTAATGATGGTTTAACATTGATCGATTCATGGTTTCAAAAATGTGTAACTTAACAATCTTCACAACACCGTAATGCAAATTACCTGTGCTCACTAGTGACTAGCTTCGTGAGGAATCTTCTCCGAGTTCTAGTGGGAGGACGTGACCAGTGAAGTTCAACCTGTTCGGGTGTATACAGTAACTACCGAAGACTGTGTATGAGGTTGCGCAACTCCGTGAATCGATCAAGTTCGACATTAACAACGTTCAATACCGGGTCAGTGATCCGACGGTTAGAAGTCCGCGTACAATACCGAAGGTCGTGGGTTCGAATCCTGCGAGGTGCAGGAGATGTGGATGCGCACTGCTGATGAGTCCCATATCAGGACGAAATGGCCGTCATTCAGTGCTTCCAGGTTTCTAATGGTGGTCTAACATTGATCGATTCATGATTTCAAATAAAACTTAACAATCTTCACAACAACCCCGTAATGAAATACCGTAGCTCTACTCCGACATTGGACAACATCGCTCATTCAGGTAAATGGTGGCTGGGCATTAGTAACACATGTTTCAACTACTTTGACTGACAAAGATTCACTACTTCATCAAACGACTGATCATTCATATCTAGTACCCTATTCCTAAGCCATGCATTGTTTACACGATAGTCTAAGGATATACGAGCAATGCCTCCAAGACATCAGTGGCTGAATAATAGTAACCTACAAATATCCTCTATTCTAAGTAGCCACATTTCACACTCGTAAAGTAGGACGGAGTGAATGGTACGAGGCAAACTCGAGCTTCGGTTGGCAGACAGGTATCTCGTCTACGCCACAAGTGACGCCAAACGGCATGAGTCAGCCGGGGCTTCTGTATCCGTTCCAAAATTTCATCAAACATCAGATTACCGGGGCTGATTAGACCTCTAAGAGAAGTGATGCAGTTATCTCGCTCAACTACTATACTCCCTATCAGTAGTTCAGGCAACAAAGTAATCCAATATGCGGACTATATATCCACATATAGGTCTGAAACCATCCTGGCTCTTCACGAGCTCTAGTTAGGCATCGAAGTTTTTTAGACATTTAATTAGTTAAACCGTATCCTTTGTGATCGTCACAAGAGGACTTTTGTCCTTACTTGAAGACTAGAATAGTTGGTGATTCAAACCAGTCAAATGGGATCATGTCCAGTTTTCAAATTCTAGATAAGATCTTAGTCAATTTAACCGCTAAAACTGGACCACCACCCTTAAAGATCGTAAACGCAATCCTTCAGGCACTGCTTCTTCCCTTGTTTTAAATTACATAAAGTCTTTTCAACCATATTAATAGTTTTGGGACTCATATCAGTATGCCCTTCAGATTACTTGGAGGTTGCGGGTAACTGAGGTAGGCCGGTTCAATAAAGTGTTATACTCATTGATCCAATCTCCTGAACTAAAAGTAAATGATGGTCCCATCTTATTCCAAAATAGTCTCAATAACAGCCAGACTGATAGCAATTTTTTCCTTGATAAGTCTGGACAACTGTCTACTGTTACCAATCACCACAGCCTTCTCCATCTCTTGTACTTTCGCTACCAAAAACCACTCATAATCAGGATGAGTTTCTGAGGATCTATCAATTCAGTAGCTGCAACTGAAATCTACTTCTCCTCTCTCTAATTTATCGGTAGAAATCACAGCTTTTCAGTATCATTCCAAGCTGTCTCGGGCTGAGTATCACTTACACGGTTATCTAACTGGTTTTCCAGTTGTTTCTGAAACGTATACTTAGCTTTTCAATCAGTAAATTGAGCATCAAGGAGTGTTCTCGCTGTGGCTTTCCTATGTCCAATAAGATACGGACAAATACCTGCTCGTACCAGAGCATAATCTGAGTCTAAACATATTCTACAGAACGAGACGCAGCTTTCTATTGACCCTTTCCATCGGTGGCTGGTGGAAATGTTGTCTATATTAGTCCATCGTTGGATAAACTGTTGGTTTCATCACGTCAAATGATGTTCGATTTCATGCTTGGAATTGGCGATTTCTGATAGTAATGGTTTTCTATGAATAGTTACAACAGAGGTTCGCCATTATCTTGTTGATTAAGTGTCATACCATTCATGTACCCATTCATGTACCTGCCAGTTTCGCTTAATCTACTAACCTGATCATTAAAGTCACCAGCAACTAATACTGCATCAGACAGCGTAGCTTTTTAAAGGAGGTTGGAAAGGTTTCCATAAAACTCATCTTTCACTTCATCTGAACTGCAATCAATAGGAGTGTAGACAGCGGCGACGAAGAGGCAACGGCACATGTCCTTATCTTTCTGAGTTCTAACTGTACCGGTTAGTCAGACAATGCAAATGCGACTAACTACTGTAGTTCCGTCAATGAACCTACACGAGTAAGGTTACATATAGTAACAGTGGTGTGGCGTGAGCTACTTATAAGTAGTACATGACGTGAGTGTCAACGTAATGTCTGGCAACAGAAGATGGGGGAAGATCAAGAAAGGAAGAGTTAGAACACAATCGAATTTGTACTAAACACATGAATAGTGACAATGGATTGATGTTTGACAACAAGAACAGTCCAGTTCGATATGATGGACTGATAATTCGCAAATGAACGATTTACGATATGGTTTTCCAATTTTACTGAGTAACTGTGTAATTTTCGCTAAATACAATTCGGTTGCCCCACCTGTGTTCCCGTTCACTACAGTGGAGTCTCTAGACAGACGAAGCAAAATGTTCGACCCTTAAAAGCTGCAGCACATAGCTTAGATCCTAATTTCAGGAAAACAGAAATAGTATTTCGTAAACTGGTATCATTACCATCAGCGATGCGAGGTGATAACGATATGAGACAAGGGTTAGTTGTAGGTAGAAAGGAATTATTACTAAATGAGGGAAAGATATGATGATCAAGAAGATGATCTGACAATTCTTTCTAGGTAGCTTAACATTCGAATATAATTTGATATATATAAATTGTTTGACCACCATTATGAACACACAAGCATTGGGCGGCTGTTTTGTCCTGGTATGGAACTCATCAGCACTGCACATACTCTAAAGACCTTCGTTGCTGCGCACAAACAACTAACCTCAAAAACCACTATGTGAGGTTGTACAATATTCATAGATTGATCCAAGCCGATCTTCGCACTAGGAATCCGAGAATTTCCTTACTAAGCTAGTCGCTAATGAACACATTGTTTGATTTCTCATCATAGTATCCTGGGAAATCATTGTACTCACTGCTGATGAATCCCATACCAGTACGAAACGGCTGTTTTTCAATGATTCAAAGTTTCTTCTAATAATTGTCCAACAATGATTGATTCATTATTTCACAACAATACTCTCACTTAAATGTACCACCACTTAAACAAGTTTAATTGAATTCATCATATTTTAGTATTCCGTTTTTCATTAACATGTGTTTGTGAGCATATATATATATGTAGCTCATTCCAGTATTGAATACAAATGAACCAGATATAAACTCAGCTATTTACAAAACATTTACATTAAATAATTAATATTCAAGTTTTTTCTTACTTGAAAAATAAAATTAGAGGAAAATAATGTTTATTTATTCTGATAGTACAATCCTTTTCTGTGTAATAATCCAATTTAATGCGAATTCTGTGTGTGTACAATCCGTGAATGATTATTCAATAGTCAATATGGCTTGATATTGAACTAACTAACCTTTTTAAACAGCTGGGCTAAATACCATTGATCCTAATTCTGGAAACCAAATTCTTAACCAATCAAAATTCAACAAATTCAAGGACACATTGTCTAATATTGATTAATCAATTTGAATTACAAAAAAAATACAGAACAGAACAAAATGAAAATGGAACAAACTAGGGGAAAGGATGTTTTGATTATTTTTGATAATTTTTTTTTCTCTTTTACAAAAACTAACTAACTAACTAACCAATAGCAATGAAGAGAATGGATAAGTTTTTATTGGTAGAATATGGATGGGGTTTACATTTCAAATTTGGACGGAATTTTTAAAATATGCCAAAACAACATTTTTTAGCAGAATCGTTTCTCCGTCTTGTTCTTCGATTTGACAACAGTATCCGTTGATGTCTGTGTGTGTGGGTGTTTGTGTTATGTAATTTTTTCTTTAGTTGATTACTAAATAAATAAATTTACTTTGACGCTTATTTTTTTTTCTCTGACATTATCTTATTATCAGTCAGATATTAATTATTATTTCACATGACTTAAAAAGTATTTGAATAATATCAATGTATTACTTGACTAAAACAATTGTGTGCTGTCAAAAAATTAGGAGAATTCAACAAATTTGGTTTTTAGTAGTGTAGTACACGGTAAATAATTTTGATTTGTATCAGTCAGTCGGTCAGAGTTAGTCAGATGCAACGTAGAACTTCGTACGTAAGTAAATCAGTTCATGTCGCCATACCACATCAGCACAGAGATATAATTGTCAATTCAAATCCAATAGTAGAAGAGGTAGTAAAGGTATTAGAAGTAATCGGACAGATTAAGGTTTGAAGATATTATTCATGAAGTATGATTAAATGAGAAAAGTTTAGAAAGACAAAACTAAAGGTGTTGAAGAATCCAGAAGATTAGGATTTGAGAGGACACAAAGAGTGGATGCACCTGCGCCATTGCAAACGATTCTGAGCCATACCATTCAGGTTCTCTAACCATCGATTATTATCATCTCGCGGTCCCCAACCAGGTAGTCGACAACTACCTACATGGCTAAGTCCACTTGTCAATGACTTCATGGGTTTCTGCCATGTTTTGGTCTGGCCGCCCTTAGCCTTCTTTCAACCCACTCCTACACTACAAAACAAGGTTCGTCGCGGTAGTCGGTGGTTAGGCATACGTAACACATGTCCCAACCACATCAACTGATGATGACGACCGTAGCTGCTACTCCCGACCGTAGCTGCTATCCCCGACCATAGCTGCTACCTTGACATGTGGTGGTCGGGCTTGCCTATCGTCATGACCCGACTGAGCTATACTGGCTGGAACATATGTTCCAGAAGGTTCTACCATGCCAGGCAGGTCGATTGGAGAACGATGAGACTAGAAGCAGCTACTCAAGGTCTGAGGGCAAAGTCGTACTGCTGAATGACTGTGGAGGGGTGTGACAACAGTAAGGTGTTTCCCTCGGACAACCAGCATCTGCAGAGATACTGCCTTTTACAAGGAAGGAATGTTTAGAAAAGGTCGGCCCCAAAAATGTCACACCTCCCCTACCTCACGGATTTCCGTCTCCCTGTGTAAGGGTGTCCACTAAGAGCTTTTAAGAGCGAAGCTAATTCTCAAAAATCCTTTCTATGAAAGGCAGTGCGTGACCGACCTCCAGCAGTTGTCCCTTGGGCTCTGCGATCACGCACCCAGGTCTCTAAGACCAACACTAATCTATCTTCCTTTTCAGGTCCCTCAAGAAACAACCTTCGACGGTGTGGGCAGCCGGGAAGTGATAACCGCCCTCATACCCGTAACAGCACACGGGACCAAATCGGTCGAAATCAAATCCTTCCTACACCCACACATATTGCTATTTAGTAGTAATGAAACACTGGTTACATAATTTCTACACATTAAAATCATCAGTCAATCACCGTCATCACCATCATTAGAAACCTTAGACTCCTCAACAGCAGTGCACACCTACGACTCCTACACCGTACAGGATTTGAACACACAGGACGTTCGATATTGTGTGCGAGAATGCCCATCCTCTGAACCACTAGGCTGGCATCGAATGGCCTTAATCTCTAACTCTGATTAATGTAACAATGTGTAAAAACATTAATCTCCATAGGTCGAATAGGAAAAATCGTAAGGAAATTTTTCACAGTTCTAGTGAGATGTGACCAGTACAGTCCAATCCTATCTCTTATAGGCCGTAACTTACTTACTTACTTGCGCCTGTTACCCCCAATGGAGAAAAGGTCGCCAACCAGTTTGCTCCAACCAGCCCTCCTCCTTTACCCGGGGCTTGGGACCGGCAGTAGCCCCGAAGTTTCTACTGCCGAAGTTTATAGGCAGTAACTACCAAAGATAAATAAGTGGTTAGGTTGGCGCAAAATCTCTAAATTGATCAGAGTCAGACACTAATCCTTTTTGAAGCTGACTCAGTAGTCCAGAAGTCAGGCGTATGCGCGTAAGACCGAAGGTGCTGGGTTCGACTTCTGCGAGGTAAAGAAGTCGTGCATATATATGCACGGCTGATGTATCCCATAACAAGATGAAACGGACGCAATTTTAGCGCTTCCAGGTTTCACAATCATGATCTAACAATGATTGATTGATGATTTTATTGTGTGAATTTATATCCTTTTTTTAGAATTATTCCAGTCAAAAATGATTTAAATTACTAGTATTATTAATAGTAGTAGTAGTAGTAGTACTAGTGTCTATCTAATAAGGCACTTATTCATTTCACATGAAACTAACTTAGTTTATTTATCAAGGTAACTAAATAATAATATTTTTTTTATCACAAATATTGATTATTCATTTTTTCAAATCAGGTGATTTTAAAACATTTTTTGATTCTTATTGATAAAAAGCGTTTGTAGTTATTAGTAATAATAACTAAAAAAAAAACTACTAACGTTTGATATCAAATTAGAAAACGCTGAATAAAATGCAGCAGAGTCTTTTGACTACGCTAAGCAACAATGCAAGCATGTTCATGAAGCGGTTCTCCGATGTCGAAATATAAAATGTTGCTTCAAGATTGGGTTGCATCAGCACCTGAACTAGTGATAGGGAGTGAAGTAGTCGAACGTGTAGATCACTTCACTTATCATGGGAGTCTTATCAGATTGGCTTTTGCCAACCTACGTCACTTACGGCGTAGGCGAGATATCCGTTTGATGACTAAAGGACGAGTGTACTGCGCAGTAGTTCGCTCCGTCTTACTTTATGGCTGTGAAACATGGCCAGTCAGAGTAGAAGATATTCGTTGATTACTAGTATTCGATCATAGGTGTCTTCGAAGCATTGCTCGTATATGCTGGGACACCCGAGTGAGCAACGCTGTTATTAGGAAATAGGTGCTAGGTAAGAATGGCAGATCGACAGATGAAATAGTGAAACTTCATCAGTTGAGATGGTTGAGACATCTGCTGCGTATGCCTGACCACCGACTGCCTTGATGAGCTATGTTTTGTGGTGTAGGAGGAGGTTGAAAGAAAGGTAGGGGCGGCCAAACCAAAACTAACTACAACTGTTAGAGACTTTGAATGACATGGCTTAAAATCGTTTGCAATGGAGCAGGTGCATTCATTTATTTTGTTCTCTCAAATCCTAAACTTTTTTATTCTTCATCACTTTATCTTTTTAAATCTATTCCACTAGATTCTACTTCTAGACTAAGGTCCTCTGTTGGGGATGTGTAGATCCCCAGAACTCGCTTGATAAATGCCTTTATTTTGAATTTTACGTTTGCGAGCATGGGCTAATCAGTTGACCTTAAGATTTCATTTCCCAACAGCAAAATCCTTGGCTTTGATTGGCTGCTGTGTATTTTATTGTGCTATTTCCATAACAGTTCCAAAGACGTTTCTATGATGTATAAATAGACGAGAGTTGTGTGCTTGATTGTATTGTGTGATTGCTGGGTGTTGTAGAATATAATTTCTACGCTTATCAAGACTTCTGTTTTGCAGTTTGGGATTCAAGGTAGCCTACCTTGAAGCTGTTTATCGTCTCGTTCGCGTTTAGTGACTAAGTTGAACTCGTAATAGCTTCAAGCGTACACCTAGTGACGAACATAACACTTCTAATCCGAACCTTTCCGACTACTGCTAATACCTCTACTACCTCTACTACTAGTGGATTTGAATTGACAATTACATCTCTGTGCTAATACGTGGTATGGCAACATGAACTAACGTACGTACGAATTTCTACGTTGCAACTGATTGATTGATTGAGTTAATAGTAATAATAATGACAATAACAAGTGTCCAATGAGAACAATATTGATACGCATATTAAGCCTCCATTCAGAGGAATCTGAAACTCTAAATGTCCATTATCCACTTGGTTTCCTACTTGTGAATTGTCAGATTTGAAGGCAAAAGTATCATTCACAACGCTTAATCAATCAAGACAGGAGAAAATTGAGAATGAGTTGGAAGTTTAACTATCAAGCTCCAAATAAGTATGCTTCATTCTTACATGATAATTGATAATTGATTGAAATACACGGAGATCTATAATCTCGAATAAATCGATTATTTATTTATTTAGCAACAAATGCTATGATTATCCACATAATTCTCTGGGCGTTGACCTTTTTCGGATTTGTTAGCTGAATGTATATATATATATATATATATATATATATATATATATGCGTCACAATGCTAGCTTTTCACATTGAGATTCTAACTGATTACAAATATCAGTTTTGCATTGCATATGCATATATATATTCAGTGGATGGCTCTTCTAAATAGAATGAAATAAGGCAATTACTAGATTGCACTGCCAATCACAATATTAAGAAAAATTACTTACTGTTACCCCCTATGGAGCATAGGCCGACCACCAGTTTCCCCCAACCAACTCTGTCTGTCCTGGGCTTCCCTCTCCAGTCCTGTCCAATGTTTGTTCATTCTTCTCATATC